TGGGCTGAATTGCACAAAACGCATGATCGCACCGGCTAGTCTGGTGCGCGTTGCCATTTATTCAATTTGCGCCTAACTTTTCTGTACAATTTTAATGGATCTGTAAAAACCGCATAATTCGAAAAATTCACAAAACGTTATTTCTCGCTCTCTGAATTTAATGTTTCCTCGCCTATCAAAATTTCTGAGAAAGCAATCTTCAACCACATTTTGCTACAAAGCAGAGGCCTTATTTCAAGGAAGCGGAAAAATGGAGCTGAGAGTTCAACGACGACAAATTCTACTGTTTTTCTATTGGAATACATCATATTTCCCTAATCTTACTGTTAGCTCTAAAAGATACCGTTCTACATAACTGTAAGAAATTTATACTTGTTAAACTAAGGAAATGGTATTTTTTTGTTTCTGCTTTCTCTTTTTAAAAATGCCCTCCCTCCCCTCCTTCCTCTCCCCTGAATAACCTATAACCCTCTCCTTGACCTCTAACTGAATAAAAACACTCACAAAATTAACATATAAGCCAATAATGCTATAAGAACCATAAAACTAAAATACTATAAAAACCATCTGCATTCCTGGAATTCCTCAAATCGATCATTCTTAAGTATCAAGGATACCACTCATTCATAGAAAGCTTTCAATCAGTTACCAATAAGCAAGATTTAGCAAAAACTGTATAACAATTTAGTGTAAAATTGCTCGAAATCAGAAGTGCTTACCAGTGAGGGATCTCCTCTTCCGGCGGTCGAAACAAATCGTACTGTACAGACGATGTTACGCGCCTTATTAAATGTTTTTTGTCCATCATATTTGAGGGAGAGCGGATACACATACAACAGATTGAAGAGACTGGTGTGTGGCTCGACAATAAAATCGTTGAATGATTGAGCTTCAAAGCAAGCTGCAGCAGGGCTATCCGATGCTGCATTCCATGGGCGTATCGGCATGAAACTCGGACTGATTTGCACTAAAATTTGGCGCATTGACGCACAAATGGCAAATAAATAGATGGAAAATAAATAGCAACGAGCACCAGACTAGCCGGTGCGGTCACGCGTTTTGTGCAATTCTGCCCATTGAACGATTGCCTATTAATGATTTTCACTGCTTTTTACTTCATTCTATGCAAAAATAGCTCAAACACTAGAAAACCGTTGAAATTTTCATGCACCAGCGCATGAAAGTTAAATTCGAAACCTTTAAAGGTGAATATCTTTATCCCGAATTAATAGTTTACCCGTCAAAATTTTCACAAGGCTGTAGGTGATACTCAAGAGCGCGGGAACGCTGAATTTGAATAGGCAAGGTTGAGCGCGGACAGGGGGTCATTACGCTAAAATTTCAGCTTTCTGGAGCCCGTGGTTCCCGAGATAATAATTTACCCGTGAAAAACTTCCACAGGGCCGTACGTGTTATCCGCAGGTACGGGAAGGCTGAATTTGAATGGGCATGGTAGAGCGTGGGGAACGTTCCTTTAAATTTTCAGCTTCCTAGCTTTTGTGGTTTCCGAGTTGAAAGTTGCGGACAAGTTGCTGCACACGCACATACACACACATACACACGCACACACGCACACAGATGACCCCGTGACAATATGCGCTTTGTACTGCTGTTACACAGCACAAAACGCATAAAAAACAAGATAAATTATATTAAGAGTTATGGAAGGACAAAGAAATGAATATAAAGACTCATAAAACTAACGGATAAGCCGATAAGGTCTCGCAAATTTAAATTCAGCTTCCTCATATTCGCGGGTAACAAGTATGGCCCCGTGAAAGTTTTTTACGGGTAAATTAATATCTCGGGAACTACAGAGTCTAGGAGGCTGAAATTTTAGGGTAATGACCCCCTGCTGATGCAGTGACCGGGAATGTGCACAAACGACAATACCAACATACTAAAATCATAGGGAGAACAAGAGAGGGAAGAGAAGGACGGGGGGAAGGGCCCAGTGGCAGGCACTAGTGCTGCAAAAGCCCGGGTCTAAAGCTAAAACTAAAGCCTAAAGTAACTCTAAGTAACAGTGTTACAACTCTATTCCTAGTTCTTGCATAGTTCCGGGATGGAAGGGGAGTCTCCTTCTTAACCCCTGTCAGTCCCTCCCCTCCCAGGAACCCCACTCTCCCCCACCTCCTTCCCCAACCCCTTCCGGGAGTCTGTCCTGGATCCGCCTAACGAATCAGCAACCCTCAAAATTACGTATCTTTTGCGCATTTAAACCTCTTTAATTTAAGTCAATAAATTTACCAACTCCCCTAGTCGGTAAGATAATTCAGTAATATTCGGGAAGAGGTGATGATGCTTAATCAAGGACATCTTGGTTTTTACATCAAGGACATCTTGGGTCTTTTACATATATCACGAACTTTTTGGAATGGCGAAAGCCAAATATCGCTAAGCTGGAAGCTGCCTTTGGGAGGCAAAATGAACGTCAAGATCGCCAACAGGCCGATCACTGGGCACTGTAGCACTGGGCAAAGGAACCGGAAAAGTTCCTGGGGAATCAGACTATGAATTACAGCTGCTGATTCAACTAAGTATTTCAAATACAGATGCACAAACTTGGCAGATCGGATGCTTTTGGCGAGAAATCAATATTGATGCTTATAGTTGCTGACGGTACAGCTGTTAATTTTCCGGATTTCTCGGCACTGCAAAAAAAAAAAAAAAAAAATTCAGAAATTTATGAAAATTTGTTGAATTTTTGAAAAATTTCCCGCTCAGTAATACAAAAGTGAACTATTACCGAAAGAAGTCAGCGAGAATCTTTTGCAAGTCACCGTCGCCTAGTTTGTTACCGTCACAACGATACAGCTGCATTTCGTTGGGCAACTTCGTTCCACATCCTAACATTTCTTGGAATACAGGCCTAAAATGTCAAGTTTTTACAGAACGAACATTAACTGCCTAATTTTCAAAGTGCCAGAGTAGTTTTATCTTTTACTAATATTGCAGTGCGGACCTTTTAAGTCTTTTTCTGCGAAATGCAAGTTATGAACAAAAAAAAAAACCACTAATAGGTGAGCCAAAGTGTTGTGTTGCAAAAGGAACAAGGTGTTAATAGCAAGAAAACGAAGCTGACGACTAAACCCCTTCGCCTTGCCCAGTTATCCTTCAATCCCAAGCGCCCGTCTTCTGCCCCGAACTCCCTCTTCCGTGATACGCAATGATGCGATCAGAAACGAAATGATGATCGTTTTTCTGTATCAAATAACTGCGCGGCAGCTCCAACTTATTTTCCGCGGTTTGGTTTTTGTGCTGTGCACTTTT